ATATGATTCGACAAATGAAAAAAAATTTAATGTAGTCATTCGAGATGCAAAGTGGAAGCTTTCGACCAAAAAGCAAAAAATTAAAAATCGTGAGCGGATCCGTACCCTCGTCGCCATCCCCGGACGCCGACCACTAACCCACTAGACTACCAGAGCACGGCGGTTGGGGTGTGGGGAGGGCTTATGAAGGTATCGGGAAAAACTTTATACCGCTGTAACTTTATTAAAAAAAGTATCCGCAGCTAGAAGTTACATCATTCGATTCGTTTCGTCGAGCTCTACAAGATGCACATACTCACATAGCTGGGTCCGATGTCCGCCCCAAAACATTCCCTAGTAAGGGGTCTCTGCTGGTTTGCCGCGCCTAACTGCATGGCAGATTATCGTTTTTCACGTCCCAAATGGTGCCTGCTAGTTTTTCAACCGTCTATTTCTATTTTCGGCCTGCCAACCTACCGTATGCCATTCCCCAAATGATCACTGCTAGTTTGCCCTGACTCCTAAATGAATCTCTGCTAGTTGAGCCGGCTCTTCTGGAGGGCAGGTGATAGATTTTTGCTTCCTGAATGATCCGTGCTAGGTTGCCAAACATCTATTTCGCTTTTCTGTCACCCAGAGTACCGTATCCGATTCCCCAAATGATCACTGCCAGCCTGCCCTACATGCAATGTTTATATCCCCCCAATATATCTATTGGTATTGGATTGTGTATCCCTTCCCTTCCATTCCCTTTCCCTCTACCATCCATCTCTTCTCCCCCTCAAGCTCCCAAAAAAAGAGAGAGACCTCCACCCCAAAAGAGAGAAAGAGGGGGACCATCTGGCGTTTGGATGTGGAAAGGGGGGGGGGGGGGGGGAGGGGAGGAGGAGGACCTCTCGATGGGCCACAACCACCCCCAACCAACAATTATCGATCGATCCGGATGGAAGGGGAGGGGAGGGTGGCAGAGAATATTTGGGAATTTGGGGCCACTGGCTGCCAGTAGAGTTAAATTTTCATTTTTGAGGCTGAGGCGACTAGCAGAGACCATTGAGGAAGCGGTACCTGGATTTGGGTGAACTGCCTGTCAGAAAACCCAAAAATCTCACTTTCAAACTCAGGTGAGCCTGCAAGGATTATTTGGGAGGAAGAATATCAGCCAGCATGGCCAAAAATTCCGGTTTTGCCTCGGGCAAGCTAGCAAAGATCCTTTGATCAGCCTGAGCCATGGATTTCGCTAGGCTGCCAGGCAAAACTCACAAAAATCCCACTTTTGGCACCCATGCGAGCTAGCAGAGGTTTTTAGAGACCCATTCTTGCTCGATCTGGCCTACGGGCAAGATAGCAAACACCATTGCGGATCCCTGGAGTTCCCTTCTTTTTTTTAGGTGTAAAAAGTAGTGGTGCGTAGTAGTGAAGGGCGTTTGGATGCGTTTTTTGCAACAGTATTGGAGTGGAATGGGGGATGGAAAGCAAAGAGGAGGGCCAGCTGGTGGATTGATGGAAAAACACTACAACCCAGTGCCCCTCGATACACTTTCAGTCTTTTTTGACGTGAAATGGACTAACTGGGGGGGTGGAGAGAATGATGGAAGGGAGACTAGCAGAGAGTATTTGGGAAATTCGAGGATTTTTGAATCATCAACTTACGAACTGTACGCCAAACAACAAATTACGCTAGGAAATTTGAGTTTTTGAAGGGGTTTCCTGGGAAATTCCTAAAGAATTCCTGCCAGTTTGCCTGTTCAGAGGTTGGGAGAGGCTAGCAGAGACAATTTGCGGATATATAAATTTTTTTAATCAGCGACTGGCCAACTGTACGGCAGACAACAAATTACACCCTGCAATTTAACTTTTCTCCCGGTTTTTCGAGTGATTTCCTAAAGACTGCCTGCCAGTTCACCCAACAAAATCAGTGACCCCACGATAATTTGAAATCCATTGGTGTTTGCACGAATTTTTCGGAATTTTCCCAAAGTGGGTCCGCCAGTTTGCCCATTATTTGACGAATTTCACGGATTACGGTACTTTGGACAACGATACGACCCTCGATTCAATTCTACGCCTCGAGGTATTCCCATCATATAATACGCGCAATACCAATGGGGGGAAGGGTTACGCAACGTTCCGATAAATCCCCATCATCCCCCACTCTCTCTGGATCTGGAATGGATTCCATATTGCCTGTTTTTTCTTGTGGGCTACTCAGCCAATTTTTCATACAAATTTTGAAATTAGGGCGATTTTTGCAAAATTTTCTTAAAACGCGATTTTTTTTCTCCATTTTTCGAAAATGAGCTACGGTGTATCGTAATTTTTTCCGAATAACGATAAACTGGCAGCCAGATGACTAAAAAGTCGATTCGAGAGTTTTATATTATAGTAGTTTTATATAGAAAATTTAAAATCAAAATAGCCATTTTTAAAAAATGTTGAAAAATCAAAAAATCTAGTTTTTTTCGAAAATACGAAGCACCAATATGTAATTCCCGAAAACACCAATAAACTGACAGCCCTTCAGCCCGCAAAACTTTAGCCTAGCTTTTTAAAGGGACAATGCCGCCAAAAATGGGAGCATTTGGATGCATTCTGGATGGTTTGACTGATTTTCTGGAGGGTTTTTCTCTCGCTCTCTCTCTCTAGCCTAATCAAAAATTTACCGACTCGAGCAGGTGCAATATCTAGAGCAATGCCTTCTACCCCTAGGGGCCAGGCGGGCCAGCTTTTCCCTCAACTAGGGGGGAGAGAGAAGCCGAATACCCGGAAAAGGGGCGGGGCTACGGTAGATGGGAGGGGGGTGATGATTGGGGATGAGATAAGCGCGAGAGAGAGAGAGAGAGAGAGAGAGAGAGAGAGAGAGGGAGGGAGACAGGCATTTGCCATGTTCACACTCCTCAGATAACATCAACAATTAGCACAAATCCGCGCCAAAACCTTGCTTGCTAGGCAGATTAACGAAAAATTTGAATAAAATCTTTCTGGGTCCAAAAATACCGTTCCTATCCCCGGAAACGCTGAATTGCCTAACAATGCTTCTAACTGTACGCCAAAAGGCATTAGTGCCGAAAAATTGAGAAAATTCCGGTCCACAGGGATTCTGAAAACACTACCCTCTCCCGGAACTACGGTAGCTGGGTGACGCTATTTGTTCAGAGTCACCGTGTTAATCTCCCGACAATCCACTTGTCACCCCGTGAAAAGAGAGAGAGAGAGAGAGAGAGAGAGAGAGAGGTGTGCAGAGGATTGTCTCGTTGCGCAATGGCCACTTCTACTCCTTGGGGGTATCTGTCCATTAAATACGGGTTAAGTCGATGCCCAAATCTTTGCCTTAGCCACCGTGGATGGCAGACAATGCAGAACAGGCATTCGCTAAAAGAACTACCATTACTACCGTAATTACGCGGCAAAAATGGCAAATATCGATTTTTCAATTTTTTCTTTGACAGCTATTTTTCCCTTTCAAAGTGGTTCTAATTTGTAGTTTGTAGTACAAATTGGATATTAAATAGTTTTCAGGCCTACGGGCTGCCAGTCAAAAATCAAAACGGCCAAAAATTGCTTAAAAATGAGAAATATCGGTTTTTCTAGCTCGATAATTGTTCGAGTCGGCCAGTTAGCCAGTCAAAACCCTTCTAATTTTGTATTCTGTAGTCCAGCTAAGATTCTCAGGAAATTTTCAAGTCTACTGGATGCCAGTTAGCCAAAATAACTCGAAAAAATTCAAATTTTGACCTAAAAATTTCAGTTCTAGGACGGAAAATCCGACCTACAGTACCTCCATTTTCGATTAAAGGTCCCGTTGATCCCTTCATCATCTATTCTGGAGCTCATTAAGCGCCTCCAGCCATACCTCGAGGCTTCTCCCCTCCCTAGGTTATATTGATTGTGGACAGGTGAAAAGCTTAGGTCTCCCTCCGAGGGGATGTCGACTCCCTAAAGTCACTCGGTCCAATCCTTCCCTCCAATCCCGCTAATATTCCCCCTATCTGCCCTCCATCCTTTCAAAAGTGATGGGTTCCGAAGAGATCCGTCTAACTGTCGATCCACAATTGCTGGCAGCTAGCCAACCGGCCGCTGATTATTTGAATGGGCTGATGCCGGGGCTGGCCTCTGCCTTCCTCCCCCATCTCTCCGGATTTGCGGCATTGACGGTGGGAAGTGTATGGATATTGTGGGATGGAGAGCAGTTGACACTTTCGCGTGGAAAAGTGCCTTTAAAAATGTATTTTGTAGACTTGTGTGGTGTATCTTGTAGTCTTGACTTGCGTGTCCCTCTAACGTGTCAATTGTAATCTGTTGCCTAGTTTTTTGCCATAAATTGGTTATCTGGCAGTCAAGCTACCACTTTGTATGAAAAATTGACGTTATGGTTTTATTTTGTAGTTTTAGAAAGTCCATAGGTGTATTGTGTAGTTTTGTACTTCCTGGCCCCTCTAAAGCGGAATTGATAGTTTGTAGTTTGAATTTTTTGCAGAAATCGGCTATCTGACTCGTAATGCGTCATTTCATGCAAAAATATGGCGTTTTGGTCGTAGCTTGTAGTCTTGCGGCGTCTATAGGTGTCTTTTTGAATCACGAACTTCCTTGTCCCTTTAAAATCCCAGTTTGTAGTTTGTAGCCTAGATTTTTAGCCGAAATTTGCTATCTGATAGACAAGCTATTAAAATGAAATTCAAAAAAATGTCAAAAACCAATTTTCCGCCAAGCTACCGTACCCCCAAGTCCAGCTCAATCCGCCTCGATCCATCAAAATCGTCAAATTTTCACTTTTTTACGTTACCACCATCTAGACTGACCTCCAGCTAGCCGATTCCCCTTGCCAGAACCCCCTAAATGGGCCCTGTGTGTGGGGAGTATTGCCGCGTACATCTAGGGGGCACACGACCTCTTTCCTTCCATGCCAGACTCCGCCCCTTTCTAAAGCGTGCCCTCCCTCCCTCTATCCCCTCAATCCATTCGATCTCCTCCCTCCCTTCCCCCTCATCTCTTTTCTGTCTGTATTCCCTTCATTTCCTGTCGAAATGGCGATGGCCCCCCAGAAGCTTGATTCCCGGGGTCATCACTATCCATTTCCGCCCCTTCAGGTATTTTTTAAAAATTTATTTTCAAATTTTTGGGTTTACTGGCTAACAGTTTGACGGTATATCGGAGGGGAATCACTTTTTCGGCACAAGGATTCGAACCCGGGCCTTTTGCTCGTCAGGCTAGACACTAACCGATTGCGCCATCGGTTTTGGCCTCATTTCGCGAATTTGCGCGGTTTTTTTCCGTCTGCTGCCTGCCAGCGTTGCCATATTTTGAAAGAGTACCGCCTTTTTGGGGCCGAGGATTTGAACCCGGGCCTTTTGCCTCGCATTCCGGACGCTAACCGACTGACCCATCGGATTTTTCGTCTAATTCCCGAAATTTCGCGATTTTCCACCCCTCGCCAGCCTATCTGACACGCGCGCGTTCCATGCTTCGGATGGGGAGAAAGGGACGACAGCTGCCCCTCGTTCCTTTCTAGATCCTCACTTCTACAGGCCCCTGTTCTTTCACTTCCACCCCCTCAAATACCCCCAGGCTGTGTCAGATCGAGACATTTCCGATGCGAATGTGTGGACTGGCTGCCAGCTGGCTGGAAAAATCAGAAAAAACTAGGCAGGCTAGCAGCGATCCTTTGGGAAATCAATTTATGTAAACTGGAGGTCACCGAACTGACCATTTTTCGAATTTTTTTTGCTCAAAATATTCGCGGCCCCAGATATTTTCCATGCTAATGTGTAAACTGCCTGCCAACTGGGCCAATCTACGCGAAAAATTGGGCAAACTAGTAGCGATCATGCAGGAAATCGATTTTTAATCCAATCTGGACGTCTATTATTCGTTTTTGGCCGAAAAACCCCTTAAATGTTGTGATTTGGTTGCAGACGGCGATCCCGAAGCTCGACCCGGACAGCATTTACGTCAAAGAGGAGAAGCCCCTCGTCCAGCCCCTACCGTACCCCGGCAATAACTTTCACGAGGTGCGCTACGGAAAACTTGGCCTTTTGGCTGCCAATAGCTTGAAAATTGCTCGGAAATCTGTTTTAGCAGATTTTTCTGGTTTTCTGACTGCCAATGTGCGTGGGAAGTATTTTTAAAATTGAATCTGACTGTTAATACATCGATTTTTATAGTTTTGAGGAGACTCTCACAACAAAATTCGGCTTTTTAGAAGCTAAAATTACCACAAAATGTCGATTTTTCACCGTTTAAACGGATTTTTATGATTTCCTGACGGCGAGTTTGCCTTCAAAAGTCCTTTAAGATTTAAACTGACCACCAATTTATCATTTTTAAAGCTAACTGACTTTCATTCTTGCCAAAAATTTTTTAAATCCTTCTTTTTATGGAAATTCGAATACTTTATCAATCCGATATTTTTTGTACTTTGTAGCCCCGTCCCCATTTCCCTTTCGATTCAAACGATTATCAATATCATTAATGCATTGTCTCTTCCGTCTCTTCATTCCCCCCTATCTATCTCCCCTTCCTTTTCTGCCTGTCCAATGGATTGCCGTGGAAAAGTGGCGGGCCGGCCATTGACCCAGTAGTTTGCATTCAGTTCCATTTTTGTCAGTCGAAACGCACTCACTGGCTGCCAGTTTACACATTTATTCAGCTATCACCCGAATTCTCTGAAATTTCCGGTTTTTACCCCGATTTCCCATCTTCTGTTTTCTGGCTCCTGGCTATTCAATTACGCCATATAATGGCTGGAACTAGATTTTTCTCTGGTTTTTGGCTAAACTGGTATACAGTTTGACTTCTCAATCCCTTTAATCCATTAAATGACTGGCGGTTTACAAATTTTTGGTAGTTTGCTCATCCAATTACGCGATCTAAAGCCTAGGAATCCCTTTTTAATGTTGCTTTTTTGACTGTTTGGCCTCCAGTTTGCCTTCTCAACCCCTTTAATCCATAAACTGCCTGCCACTTTGTCAATTTTCATGCTCACCGAGATCATTTTCGGATTAGTTCCACTTTTCTAGATAACTTTTGACATTAATCCCCCCAGATTATCGATTGATTGATGGATATATGATGGGTGTAGAAAGAGAGGATATATGATCTCTCTCTCTCTCTCTCGTCCTCTTGATCCCACTCTAATCCCCCTCCTCCATCCCATTTAGGGTCGATCCCCTCTGGGTCACACTGCATGGGGCATAGGGGCCCCCAAAACCATATATCGATCCCCCAGGGGCAAGCTAGCAGGGATCATGGGGGAATTTTTTTGGGGGAAATCTCTAACTGGCTGGTGAGCAGCAAGAATCTGGGGATCAACTAGCCGAGGTTGTTGAGGAAATGGAAAAAAGCGTGTTTTGGGCGCTTTTTCTGGGTTGAGCTACAGTAAGTCTGTCATAAAATCCATTTTTTTTGGTTTTAGGCTACTGTAAACGGTTTCCTGGCGTACAGTTTAGGCACCAACGTGTATTTTTCGGAAACCAAGGCTAGCCATCCAGCAGGGATCATTGTGGAAATCGAAAAATCGTTTTTTGGGCCTTTTTTGGATTGAGCTACAGTATGTCAATCAGAACCAATAATTTTGGTGGTTAGACTAGCGTAAATTGTTGCCCGGCGTACAGTTTAGGTTTCTATCGAGCGCGTTCCGGTTTTCTATGCAAACAAACCGTAATAACCCACTTGAACTACCACTTCCGGGGCCAGCTACTTGGCCTTTGGTAACAGTATCCGTTTGCCTGTCAGCCAGTCTGTCAGTTTGTCTGTCTGTCTTTCTGTCCATCTATGTGGTTAACCCCTTCTCCTCAGAAGGATTGATCGATCTTTTCAAGGGCCCCCTTCCCCTACCCATCAATCTTTAGAGGAGAGCTAGCAGAGACTGTTTTCTTCTTCTTCTCTTCCTTCTAAAGCCCCATCCCCCGCAGTGAGTGCCAGTCAGTCAACCTCCCCGCCCTTTTAAAGGGACACCCAATGCAGAGACAAAGAAGTTGACAAGGACAACTTTTAGGCGGTACTCTATCACTTACCGTAATCGAGTGATTGTGGTTTTTTGGCCTGGAAAGTTCGAATGTTGTGTCTGACTGTAGAATTCAGTCCACTGGATGGCAGTTTACAAGAAAAATAGGTTCAAAGAATTTTAAAGGATCGGACAAGGCAAAATATAATGGAGTAACGGATTTGAAGTCCCGCTTTTCGCGGCGTTTTCGTGAATTTATCATTTATTTGGATGATTATACCTTTTAAAATGTGTAGCGTAAGCCAGTTTAACGAAGTAACAGAATAGAAAAAACCCTGCCCTGCTATTAAATCCAGAATTCCGATGATCCACTCAACCGCCACCCCTTTTCTTACCGACTTGGCCCACTTCCGCCCCTTTTTTTCTGAAAACACCAACTCGAATGGTTCTACCTGGAAGGGAAAATTGGCCCGGAAACGGGGCCGTGTACCACATTCACCCCCACCCACCCCACGAAAATGGTGCCCGCCTCGTTTTGGGGGAAGAAAAATGGGACACACCGCCCCACGCGCGCCCCTAGCGATTCTGGGGTGACAGTTCGGCGCTCCACGCATTGCTTGCTCGCCTGTTTGAGGGTTTTCATAAAAAATACAGTTTCAAACCTTTTTACAAAGAAATTTGGTTTTAGAAAGTATTTTTTAACTTTTGACGATTCAATCACGAAATGCTACGCGAGACTCCAATCGACGTTCAACTGTCTAGTGGAGCATTGCGGAACGGACAGAATGGAGTTTTTTTTTGAAAAATTTGGTTTTTAATAGATTTTTATCGATTTTTAGAACTTTTCCTAAAAACTAAACGCTGGACTTATTATCTGACATCTAACTCCCCGATTGAACCCAAAAACCCGGGACTCTCGGGCCCTATTGGCCACCGTGGGCCCCCTAATTCATTTTCTGTACGCATGGATGTATGTTCATTCATTTGTGGCTGTCCCTTTTTGACCCTGGTCGACCCTCTTCTCTTGCCATAGCTAGAGGCTAACCCCTAAAAAGAGCCATGGGGGAAAGACAATGCCCCCCATAATAATGGCCCTCCCCTACCATGGCCCCAGCTCCCCCCAAGCCCCCGAATTTGCATACCAAGGGCACATTGTCTTTCTCTCCCTCATTCTGTCTGTCTGTCTGTCAGACAGTCCCTATTTCTGTCGATATGTCTTTTATAAAGACCCCCATAGCTCTATTCTCTTCTATTTAATCGAGTGTCCTCCCCCTTGCTTCCAAAATTACACCCAAAACCTCTCATTTTCTACTCATTATATCAGTTTTTCGACGACCTTGGATTCTCGTATCCTTACGCTTGTATAATTATGGATTTCAGCGAGAAAGTCGGCCTTGAAAACCTAGAAAAACGGCCTGGAAAGTAGGGTTTTATAGTTTTTCGTTTTACCGGCTTTTCAAGGCCAAATTTTAGCTAGATTCTCTGGAATTAGGATTAAAAATCAACGGAAAATAGATATTTTATGAATTTCGCTTTCTAGAACCAATTTCCCGCCCCTTTGCGACCTTTTTGCTGCATTAATGGGAGTTCTGATAGACTGATAAGGTATAAAAGGCTGAAAATGTCGTTGATGAAAATCCTCAGCCCAATCTTTTAGGCATTTATTTCGAAAAACAGTTGTTTTACTTATTTTTATGCTCAAAACGATTTAGAATCCCTATTACACTGTTATAAAACTTAATGTGTAGGTTTTTTGGAGCTATTGATGTTTGGGGGGGCATTTTTTTTTTGGTGGCCTGGGTCTAAGCTTAGGCTTAGCTTTAACTTTGCGTACGCTTGGCTTAGTCTTAGCTTATGCCTAGGCTTGGCTTAGGCTTAAGCTTAGCTTAGGCCTAGGCTTGGTTTTGGCTTAGTGTAGGCTTACATTAGGTTTCGCCTAGCCTTAGCTTAGACTTAGCCTAGAGCTAGCTTAGGATTAGCTTAGACTTGGGCTTAAGCCTAGGCTCGGCTTAGGTTTGGCTTAGGCTGGGCTTGGCTTGGTTAGCTTAGGCTTTGAGACAAGCTTAGGCCAGAAAAAGCCCCCAAAAAAAGATGCCCCCCCCAAACATCAATAGCTCCGGTTTTTTTATCTCCTGCACTTCTCCTGGAATTTCCTATCTTTTTTTCCGTTGATTATAGTCCTAAAAACTTCTATAAAGTTAACTATTACTGTTCGTGATTTTGTTTGTTACAGTTTTTAGTTTTGTAATCTATATTTATCCTATTTTTTTTCCAGCACCCATCCGTTGGCGCCGACGCGACAAAAGCCCAAGAACAGCAACGAGCCATGGCTCAGGTAAGGGATTTTCGACAATTTTTATTATTTTGTTTATAGTTTCCGGCTCTAGATTTATATATTTAAATGGTTTATTTTAGTATTCGGACTACCCTCACCTGTACGACACGTCGATGGTGATGCCCGGAGCCTATTACGACGCCTACGCCGGATACTCCTCCATGGCCGGTACTTTTTTCGATTTTCTAACGGATTTAGAGGATTTTTAAAGTTTCTAGAGTCGAAAATCGATTGCCGGTTGCTTTTTTAGTATAAGAAAGCCCTAGACGTCGATATCGTAAAATGACGTTTTTGAGAGAGAGCTGTTCTAACGAATTTCGATACCTTTAAAGCGTTCTAACGGTGAAAATCGATAGTTTTCGGCTTTTTTGATCTAAGAAAATATTTGCTGGCATTTTCTTAGCGTCGAAAACCGCAGATTTGAGCCTTTTGTCGTAGAAATCGGGTTTTTGACGCTTTTGAAAGGTTTCAACCTTTTAAAAACGTCTCTAGAAGTTAATTCCTATAGAAAGCACTATTTTTTAACCGATTCTACGTTTAGAAAACCCCAAAAAATTTTGGAACCTTTCTAACCCCTTTTTTACCATAGATTTTGCAGCGCCTCTGATGCCAATCGCTGCCACCGGGGATGGGACTGCCGATTTCACCGCTTCACCTAGCTACGGTAATTCTTGTCAGCAGATTCTCGTAATTACCTGAATTTTAGTGACAACCTCCGCGGTGACAGCCGCTCTTCCCTCTTCGCTTCCACAACAAGAGACATCCACTGGCAGCTCGGTGCTCGAGATTGGAAAGGTGAGGAGATGAAATTGTAGTTTGTAGCTTGTAGTTTATCGATTACGCGATTAAAAGGGCCTGTATTGAAGTTTGTAGATTTGAAGCAAAAACCGGATTACGCGATTAAAACGAAACTAGGAAAACTGCGGATGCTAACTTGATTTAGCTTGTAGTTTGTAGTTTTTCCACACTCAATCGATTACGCTATGTTACTCAATCCAACACAACTTTTTCAGCCAAACACGACGCAAGCCTCGGCCACGGGAAGTGCGGCCACGATACCGACGGCCGTCACGCTATCAAATAATGATTGGCAAGCAGCCGCCGCATGGCAACAATATTATAATATGGTGAGGAACGGGGGTTATTGGTGAATTTTTTCGAGTTGACGGGCGGGCAAACTAGCCGAGATTATTGAGGAACCAGGGACGTGATGTAATTGCTAAAACTGGCAAACGAGCAGAGGAGCTTGCGGAATTTCGGGTATCAAGGGCGAATGATTCCGGAAACGGGCAAGCTAGCAGCGATTTTTGCGGAATTTGTCTGGAGTTAGCCAGAAAAGGCGGACAGGCGCTGATTATTAGGGAATTTTCCTATTATTCCTAGGTTTTTAGGTGTGTACGATTTTTCGGGCAAGCCGGCCAAGTTTCCTTGGGAATCTATGACCTGAAGTGGCCAAAATAATTTTTGAGTTCGGGCAAGCTAGCAGCTTTTTTTGGGGAATTTAGAGCTGAGAATTTGGCCGATTTTTTAAGAGAAGCCAGCTAGCAGCGATTTTTTTGACCTTTTTTTGTGGATGGAAGGTGTGAAATGGTCTATAACCTCTTTTCTTTCGTCGGCCCTCCTTTTTGCCAGCGAAAGGCGCCAAATCGAGGCATTTTAGGCGGTGATGTTAGAAAGAGAGGGTGAGGGTGCTAGAAAGAGGCCATCCATTCCCCCATTTTGCCGGCGGCAATTCCGGGGTATTTGACAAAAAACAGTAGTGGAAGGGAAGGGACACTACACCCACAGATTGCATTGGCCTTGGCTAGGGGCTGGGGATGAAAAAGTGGATGGAACGAGCTACCCAGGGGGGGAGGGGAAAGTTTGGACCAGCGGGCGGGCTTTTTGAATTTTTAAGGGCTTTGTATAGAGTATGGCTGTCAGAAGACTAAAAAAATCTCGTAAAAATTATCAAGCGAATTTTTCCAAAACCTAAAAATGCTTTTTGATTGAAAAATACGATTTTTAGAAGTTTTTAGGTAAAAGTCGATTTTTTGGAAGCGTATTTTTCGGCTTCTAGAACTGTGTTTTGGATTCTGGTTGTCAGAAAAGCGGAGAAATTGCTATAAAAAATTGTGGAAACATTACAAACAAATTTTAAAGCTAATTTTAGCGTAAAAAGGCCATTTTTTAGATTTACAGCGTTTTTAGATTTGATTTGGAATTTTTGTGAGGCGAATTTTGCGGCTTTTACGGCTTTTAAGCGTGGATTCATGGATTTTGGCTGTCAGAATACCGAAAAAATAGCTAGCAAAATATCGACAGAATTTTTTTAGCTGTTCTAAAACCATTTTTATGGGTAGAAGAATAGTTTTTCGATTTTTCTACCTTTTCAGACGTTAATAACCTTATAAAAACAAGGCTATGCTCATGAACATGACATCTGCCGGCGGTATCTATCAAAAAGGCCACCGTTCGGGGGCAACTAGCCGAGACAAAGACGGAATTTACCCGGGGGGGGATGGCCTTGACTCCGGAAGGACATGGGCCTATATAATAGCCTCTCTCTCTCTCTCTCTCTCTCTCTCTCTCTCTCTCGCTCTCTCTCTCTCTCTCTCTCTCTGGCTAAGAACTTGTAGAGATTGTTGTAGTAGATTATCTGGGGTGGGGTGGGTACAGATCTCTCAATAAAGAGACTAGGGGGGGAGTGTGTCGTGTCGCAACCTTCAAAAGGCCTTCAAATGACTTGGGCCTTTTAGGTTGACCGCCCATTTAATTGTTCCACAAATTGGGGAATTTCCACAAATGATCGCTGCTAGATTGCCTAGTGAAATACAAAATTCCCAATTGATCTACGCTAGCTAGCCCGTCATGTGAAATTGATCATTTTAAATTCCACAAACGATCTCTGCTAGCCTGCCGCGTACCCATATCGAAAACCGGAACCCTTGGCGCTTTACATCCAATTTCGAGGGTCTAAAACGACGAACCCTGCCCACATAATGGGTTCTCCGAGGGGCAGATGGCAGATTTCACTTTTCAGACTCCCAATTTGAATTAGTTAGGGTTTAGGAAGCTGTAAAAAATTATAATGATTTAAACTCCGAAATTTCTCAAGAATTTAGGGTGTAAAAAGCTAAAAATCACTAGAATTTGGGGTCAAAATTTTTTGATTTGCATTTCCAAGGCCACCCAGCTAGCTATCGGCGGGGGAGGGAGAACTTCAGGGCGGTCACCCCCCAAAAAAAGGGGCGCTTCGGGTCGAAAAGGGGCGCAGAAAAAGTGGCGGGGACTGTGAAAGTGTGGCGGTGGTCGCGTGCCGGTTGAGATTTTGATCTAGCAGAAGAAAGAGAGGGGGATTGGAGGGCCGATCTAACCACCCTCCTCTCTAATCAAGGGGACCGACCCGAATTTGGGAGATTTTTCGACCAGAATAAACCCAAAAAGATTGGGTTGTTTAGAAGATATAAAAAAATGTGCATTACTTCGGTAATTTGTTAAAAATTCGATAAATGATTAATTCTGGGTGAAAATTGGATTTTCTAAAATACAACTTTATTTATTCCTTTTTTTCAGCCTCACACCGCCCACACGGACTACACGTTCGCCCAGCAGGCCGAGGTCGCCTTCTATCCACTGGCACCGGTAAGCTGACGGAAACTGGCCGTTTTTAGGAGCTCTTCGTACTTACGCTCCGAATTTGATTTACTCGAAAAATCGGTGTTGACACTTTGGCCAAGTGGCTAGCACGTTGGTCTCTCAATCTGACTACCCGGGTTCGATTCCCGCCCGCGTCAAACCTTTTTCTTTTTGAATTTTAAGCTCTATTCTGTCTATTTTAGCATATCTACCTCTCCCACATCGTTACCGTACCTCCCAGGGGGGCATGGATAGGGCGGGAGAGATCCCCCTTTGTGTAGTGTTTGGTTGGAGATCCAGTTAGCACCCTCCCACCCTCTCTCCTCCTCCCCCTTTTATGATCCTCTTCGATGAGGCGGGAAAGGAGGGAATGGATGCCCTCCTGCTCGCTTTGACGATTTGAATTTCACCCCCAGAAAACAGGATCCGGGCTCCACACCAAAACTGGGCACACTCAAAAAAAATCAAAAAACGCGGAAAATTTGGAATTTTTAAAATTGTTTTAACAAAAAAATCCACCCGACATCTTGGTAAAGTGGCTACCGAATTTGTCTGCCAATCTGATGGCACGGGTTCGAATCCCCGGGGGGTTGAACATTTTTTGCTTTTTGTTTTGGGGTTTGGATTCGGGTTTGAGTGTCTATTTAGCTTAGTTTACAAGAATCTGGCTTAACTGGGGGCAAACAAGGCGAAAAAAGTAGAATTTAGATCGTTTAAAAATTAAACATTTCGGCAAAATGGGTCGAACGTTTAGCCAAGTGGTTAGCGAGTTTGGCTGCTAATCTGACGACCCGGGTTCGATTCCCCGCCACGCAAAACTTTTTCTTTTTGCCTTTTGGCTCAGATTTGAGGGATATGGCCATATCCCGATCGATCATTTGCCCCCCTGTATCGTCAAATATTGCCTGTGGGCATTGGGGGTAAACTTTGACTGGGGGGTAATCCCCCCGGGGTTTTTGGCGGTATATTTGAAGTAGAGAGAAGAGGGGGCCTCTACCCACCCCTAAAAGACAGACAAACAAACATAGCATGACATCTTAGGAGGGGAGGGAACTTTATTACTACTTGAGAGACGGAGGGATTTATGCATCAAAGGAGGGGCCGAGGCGAGAGAGAGAGAGAGAGAGAGCAGACAGACAGAAAAACCAATTTTAGTTCTGTTAAATTTTTAAAAATGTAAAAAATCTGACTTTGCAATTTTACGCGATTTTTCCTATTAAAATACCTGTCGTTATCGATTTTTTTTTGAGAGGAAAACGGACGGACTTTAATAGATTTTCTCGCTATTAAATTACCTAGCGTAATCGATTATTTTGAACGGAAAATTAGAACACTTTTAAAAAACCTAATTTTTTACGATTTTAATCGTTTTTTTGCTATTTTAATATCTAGAATAATCGATTATTTTATGGGGAAAATGGAGAATTTTTAAAATTTGAATTTATTACCTATTTATTTTTTAAAAATCAATTTTTAACTTTTTTTGCAGGCTCAACTGGGCGGCCCCCTGGATGCGACAACAGCCGACCCATCAGTCTACTCCCTACCCACCAATCTAGCAGGTTTGTCATTTGGAGCATTGCGTAGTCTTTCTTGCATTTGAAAACTACGATTTTTACGTCGTAATCGATTAAATTTCCATAGCGTAATTAATTATTTTCATTGTTTCAGGCTCCTCCCTGGCCGCTGGAGCATTCGACTACACGGCACTACACCCACAAACAAGCCTCGCCGCGGCCACCGCGTTGAGGTACTGTACCCGCAGGCTGGCAGTGGTTATTTTGGAATTGGACGAGACTGGGCTGGCTAGCAGAGATCATTTAGGAAGGCTGGAGAAACGAGCAGAAACCATTTTTGAAGCTCGATTTTACCTAGAAAAGTTTGGGGGCAGCTAGCAGAGGAAATTTGGGAAGGATGCGAAAAATCGGGGTATCTAGCAGAGATCGTTTAGGAAGCGAAGAAGAGCAGGGCAAACTAGCGGAAACCTTTTGGGAAATTTTAGGCCCGGCTATTGTGGCCCGGGTTTATTGAGGAAAATCCAGATTTTTCGCTAGGCTGAAAATCGGGGCAAACTAGCGGAAAAGATTTTGGAATTTTGAGGGCAAGCTAGCTGAGAGAATTTGCGAAATTTTAGGCCCAGCTAAAAAAGTTTATTGAGGAAAATATGGAGGTTTCGGGGGGAACTAGCAAAGGCCATTTGGGAGGGGGCAATCTTGTAGAGACAATTTGGAAATTTTGTGGGCAAGCTAGCAGAGAAAATTGGAGAATTTTGGGAGCCAGCTAGCAGGTTTTATCGTGGAATTCTACAGTAATTCCCGGTGTAATTTCCCTCTTTTTCAGCAACACATCAATCCCGGTGCCAACTGGCTCGAAGCGTAAAGTGGGTGGAGGAGCGAAGAATGGTGGTGCTTCATCATCCCTGACCTCTTCCTCATCATCTGCCTCATCTGCCATCCCTTCATCTACAATTCAATCGGCATCTGCTGCTGCTGTCTCTTCGATTATTGGAAATGGAGCATCAGCTGGAGCAGGAGCGGGAGCAGGATCATCGACTGCTGGGCCCAGCAAGATTTCCAATGGTACGTTTTCACATTAAACTAGCGTAATTGGTCACGGGTTGAATTTTTTTGCCATTCTTAGGCCAAAATTAACGTTACTATTTTATTTTTTCACGTTTTTGGAGCTAAAAATTGTCCGTGTTTTTGGCTTTTTCGAGCCTGGAATTACCTTGCGTAATCGGTTACGATTCTTATTTTGCGAGGTTTTGTGTAGCTAGGATTTAGCTATCGTAATTGGTTTCCCGACCGGATTTTTCGAGCTTTTTTGGAGTTGGAATTTAATGGCGTAATAGATTTTTTGGGTTTATAAAACAATACTGAATCTGAAATACCCGCCGTAACAAATTACGAGGCGAATTTCGTGGTTATAAATTACCTATCGTAATCAATTAATTTTAGCTTAAAACTAGATGGATTTTTATCTTTTTTTCTTTTTTTTATATTCTCTCATTTTTCAGTGTCGCTTCCCCATGGCCACCACCCCCATCAACAACCCCATCATCCCCATCATCATCATCATAAAGCCCCTTCGTCGATGGCATCAGGGGATGATGGTGGATTATCAGATGATGATCGTTCTGAGGATCGAGATGTTGATAGAAGATCTGCCAATAATGCACGAGAACGGTAAATATATCATAGATTGATTGGCCTGTGTTTGCGAGTGAGAAAAAGCATGTGTATTTTTTTGGAATTGGGTGGTGGTGAATTTTTGCCTGATTTTTCTTTGGGTTTTCGGTGTGTTTCGTGATTTTAAAGGGCCCGGAAACTTTTGAATCGATTACGCCATGTTTTCCAGCAAAATTCGGCCATTTTTATGGGTTTAAAGGGACCGAAAAGTCGAAAAAGCCCTAAAATTCCAGAATTTTTATTTTAAAGGGACCGGCAATTTTTCGAATCGATTACGCCATGTTTTTCGGGCAAATAAAGGTGTTTTCCATAGTTTCAAATCAAATTTCCTGTTTTTTAAAGGGTCCGGAAGCCGCGAATTCAGCTAAAAACGCCAAAATTTTGATTTTAAAGGCCCCAACAAAATTTCTAATCGATTACGCAATTTTTTTCGGACCAAAATTTAGCGTTTTTTAGGCTTTATTAACGGGGTTAAAATCGTTTTTTTTCTGCTTTTCCCCCTTTCTCGTGTGTAATTGGTTTCGTAAAGGGTATGGTGTCGTCCTCTCCCTCCCCTCCGTGCTGCTCCATCTTCTTCGTCCTCATCTACCACCACCCGCCCTTCTCGCCGTCGTCGTTCATCTTCTGTGGATGAGGATGAGGATTGTTCATCTTCTACTCGATCCCTCTCTGCCTCTTCTCGTCGTCTTGCCAATAATGCACGGGAACGGTAGGGACGAGGAATGCCTGACTGTCGCTGTCCCTTTAGAAATGTAGATAACCGCTTGATCTGTCTGTCGCTGTCCCTTTAAAACGGTTTAATATGGTTTTTAGGTCACAGATTTCAATTTTTCATGCTAAATTCTTGCGGTCAATTGGTAGTGTGCCAGGCTGCCGCCCACATGACCCGGGTTCGAATCCCCGCGCCGGAAAAGTTTTTGCTTTTGCCTGAAATTTTTTGGAAAAATATTTTAAAGGGACGGTGCCTTGAAAATTGCATGTTTTTCGGCGTATTTTGCATGTGCTTGGATAGAAAAATGTGGTTTTTAGAAGCGTGTAGTTGTAGACTGTAGCCTGTAATCTAACTCGAATCTTTGCAGGATCCGTGTCCGGGATATCAATTCGGCGTTCAAAGAATTGGGTCGTATGTGTTCACAGCATTCCCAGGTGGGTTACGCCATGTCCATCTCGCCCGTATCTGAGGTGAGAATTTTTCGACGGATTTTCGAGTATTTTTGGCTTTAAAATACCGCAGTAATCGATATTTTTGGAGGGTAAGAGCGCGATTTTTCCATAGATTTTCGAGTTTTTCGCTTTAAAATGCCTAGCGTCATCGACTATTTTAATGATTTGCTCGCTATTAAAATACCTATGGTAACCTGTTATTTCTATAGGCTAAAAACACGATTTTTGGCGGGAGTATTTTGCGCGCAAATACCGGGCGTAATCGATTATTTTGTAGAAAGAGAGGTCGAGATCGAGACTTATCTAATTCGACTTTTTCCAGGCAGCGAGCGGTGACAAGACGCAGACGAAACTCGGCATCCTCCACCAAGCCGTCCAAGTGATCACAGCCCTCGAGGAACAGGTAACGATTTTGAGCCGTTAGCGTTTCCCCCGCTTTTTAGGCAGGCTAGCGGGGGTTTTTGGGGAATTTTTGGGACTGGAAAATTTTGCCGGTGGTTTTTGACGATTTCCAGCGATAATCTCGTATTTGCCGGGGTACTGTAGCTTCAAAATAAAATTATAGAATTTTAAAGGGGCTGGAAAGTCAGGGAAAATCAGGAAATTCTTGTTTTTCTGGTTTTTTAAGGTTATTGGTCATTTTCCAAGCGTCTAGACCTAAAAATCGAGTCCCTTTTGCCTTACGAATCCCTTTAATTTTGATTAATCTCCTAATCTATCCAGTTCCAGGTGCGCCAACGAAATCTGAACCCGAAACAGGCAGTGATGAAACGACACGGAAATGATGAGAATAAACAGAACATAACAGGAGGCGGAGGAGCAGGGGCTACGGTAGATCAGTACGGTAACCCCCTCGTTTCGCCCTATTGAGCCATTTCCCCCCAATTCTCTCTGCTAGCCCGCCCCTCTATTTCCGTACAAAATGTGATGCCGCCAATCTTTTCAACATTTTCTAAAAATTGTCATTTTTCTCGAGCGATTATTTATATTTTTCTATCTCGTTCTCGCCCCTGAATTCCATGGCGTAATCGGTTACACCCCCAGTATTTATTTCCACGATTTTTGGAGCGAATTCCGCGGTTTTTCGAGCTGTTCACCCGATTTTACGCGACAAGCTACAAACTACAAAAATTTGGAATTTTTTGGACTTTTTAGCGCCGGGAATTTGATCGCCTAATCATTTACACCTCAATTTCCGTATTTTTGGGAGCAATTTCTGCGGTTTTGGCCTAAAAATCCGTTTCTACAGCCAAAAACACAAAAATTCCAGAATTTTCCCGTTTTTCCTGGCCAACCGGCAGCGACCATTTGACCGGAATTTGCCATCCTTTTCCAGGCCCTAAAATTCCCCGTTTTTTAGCTCATTTTATGACGCGATTCTGTGTATTTCTCTGTGTTTTTCTGTGTCTATCTATCACTATTCTGTGCATCATCATCATCATCCAATCCAATCAATTCCTCCATCAAAGATGTCCAACCCCCGCTTGTATTTCTATTTCTTTTCTTTCCTCTGGTTATTTGTATTCCTCTCTGCAATCTCCTTTCCTTTCTTTTCTCCTCCTCTTTTGTCGAAAGTTTTATATAATAAAGTATTTGCAAGTCGGCGAATCGTTTCTGAAAATGCGCCTCACCCTGTTCCACTGGCAGCCACAGCTTTCGCACAACCACCCAGCAATGCATTTTTTAGACTTTTCGCGTTTGTTTAAAACGGCTGAAAAGTGCGCTTGTCCACCCCTTCCCCCGATTGGGTATCAACAACGGCGCTTCAAAAACGCTGGCCTGCGCGTTAGAATTTGCCCCGCCCGTCATTTGGTGTAACACGCACTGTGCATCGTCGCAACGTCAAAACTTTTCGCGTCTTGGTTTCTCAGTTGCTTTTTGGCATATTACAACATTTCTTGCTTAAGGCTCCACGTTGCCACGCTGCAGAACTAATAAAAGTAGTGGTTTTTCGGCGGGAAAGCAGCATTTTTTGGCGGATCTTGGTGCTACTAGCAAGCGATCTAATTTCCATTGTTTCAACGCGGCGGCGCCTTCGCTAGCGGGATACAAGCGTCTTTCAGCTCCATGGCTAGCTCTTTGCTTCCTCTCGCTGAAAGCAGATTTTATTCTTATTCTCCTTTCTCTGCTTGATCTAACCTTAATGCTTGTTTTCCATTTCTGACTCGTTGTTGCAAGTGCATCAAATCAACAGTCCTTTTTTCAGGTAAACAGACGCCTCGACGCTCCGATGGATCGTTATCAATTCGAGAAGGAGCTACTGGCTCTACAGGACGATGGAGTGACGGATATTGGCATCGTCGAGGAGGGCAACAAGAAGGAAAATGAGGATTATGATGGAGTCAAGGAAGGCTACAAATCAACGCCCAACATCTACGATCTTCCGGTCGTCCTTTTGTGGGAGATTCTGCAGCCATTTGTGGGAGATTTTGACGAACGAGATCTCCTCTCGATTGCTCGTGCTCATCAAAATCTTCTCTACGCAACAAAACATCTGAAGGACAAATACTTCAGCTGTGTGAGATGTGTGACCTCAGATTTTCCTGAATGTAATTATACACCGGAAGTACTGGAGATTCTTCTTCATGGGGCACGGGTCGAGGATCTCTACTTCGACACATATGCTCGCCCATTCGATGTTGACGGATTGAAATTGTCGAAGCTCTATTTCTATGGCCCAAAAAATGACGACAATGTGGCCAGTGTCATCGAAAAGCTGAAGCCTGAATTGGTCGACTTCCAGCGCTATGAAAACTACACGATGACTCCGAGGTTGAGCCAGGCTCTCTCCACCATCGACAACCTCCATCTCGGCGATGTTGGAATGGAGCTTCTCGATTTCATACTCCAATGGAAAGGCAAGGCTTTGGCCTGCTTCCTGGATCTCTCAGCGAATTACGAGAAGTCGTCTCGCTTGTTTGATGTCATCCGACAATTTCTCGATGAAAGGATGAATGGAGTGCCAGCCCCATCTCAACTAAATATCCGCTTCAATCCCCCGTTGCTCCCTGATCAGCTTCATGCAAATGTTCTTGGCCCGGATTATCCATTGGTGTTCGATGGTATTTCGGGCTACAATTACTACCCCAATAATCAATCCATCTACCTCGGAATCCGTCCCTCCTCTATGTTCTGTTACCTTTCCGAATTTATTCCGGCTTTTTGCTCCCAATTTCAGTCTTCTTTTGATTGCTCCACTATTTTAATCCGGGTTTCATTTCTCATGTTCTCTCAATGCCCCGTTTCCCTTATTTTATTCACATTGCCCGAGATAAAATGTCAAATTTCAGGCTGTGGGCACGAAATGGCAGCTCGAGGTGCGGAAATGGGCCGATGTGATAGAAAAAGGATGGGATGTGCTAAAAGGTCATGTTTGTTTTGAAAGTTCCTTTTTATATTTTTTTAGGAAAATCGCGAGGGACGGCGGCGACGGTGATGTTCCGGAAGACATGGGCTGCTGCTGTTGAATCGCGGTTCGTGATCGGACCCTCTACTTCTCCGTCTTGTTTTTTTAGATACCCCGTTGACGGATAATCGACAAGAGGAGGGATCAGCCGCGGCCGGTTCTAGAAAGATTCAAGCAGCAGTCAGAAGGCAACGCCGGTGAGAGGTTATAGTATTGCTTTTTTAACCTAATAACGTGCTGAGGTTTTTTGCAATTTTTCCGATCAAAGTCTTGGCCGGAGAATCTAAAAATCAAATCTGCTATGTTCCGACGATTTTCTGGTGAAAAATTATATTTTTAGGAGAGATCAAATGAATGCTCATTTTCAGGTAAGAACCTCGCCAATCGACACTTCAATGGCGCCGGCCGCAATGAGGAAACGGGTCGAGAAGCGAGACAATTTCATGGATTGCGGTTAGTGATCGAACCTTGCTACTTCGCCGCCGGTATTTCTAGATACGTCCCGTCTCATTGGGCAACGGACAACAACAATAGTAAGAAGATGACGAAGCAGAACCTGTCCGAGACGCCGACCCAGAAGATGCACGAAATGGCCAGGTTTTATCCAAGTTTCTCGTTTATTCTTATTTAGCACGTGATCTACGCCCAGCAACAGCTTCACAACGACGCACCAATTATCTTAAATCATGTTGTATTTCTCTTTCTTTTCTTTTCTCTGCGTATTTGTATTCGTCTCTGCAATCTCCTTTCCTTTCCTTTCTTTTCTCCTCCTCTTGTCGAACGTTTTAGAGATAATAAAGTACTTTCAAGTCAAAGAATCGTTTCTGAAAATGCATCTCACTGTTCCTGAGGCAGCTACAGCTTTCGGTCATCTACCACGGTGTCTTAGAGCGCGCACGGGGGGTAGGGACGGGCATGGCCTAGTGGTCTAAGGCGGCGGCAGGCGCGGGGTGCTGGTTCGATTCCTCCCCTCGCCTAAAGACGCGACACCGTTTTGCTTTTTTTGCAAAACGTTTCTGCAAAGCACCGTCAATAAATCTTTAGCGAATTCCACGTAGAAAATTGGGCAGATGGGACGGTCCCGAGGCCGTAACCAGAAAAACTCTTGATTTTTGCTTCAAAACGTTTCAAGTCCTTATTTTTCCCGGCGATCGCCCAAATTCTTTGACCAGAATGTTCCCTTGAGTCTTCTCTATCGATCGCCAGGTGGAACATTTGTAATTCTTTCTCGAAAAAAAGTTATAACCTTTAGAAAGCTTTTTCTCATACATTTTGGGGGCCAAAAGGGGGCGTGGCCTAGCCCAGTCCCTCCCGTCCCCTCGTGCGCGCTCCAAGTAAGGCCTAAGACGCCGTGCTATAGAACAATGAAAATTTTTAGACGTTTGTTGTTTAATTTAAAGGGCTGCCGACGGCATGTGTCGATCCCCCCCCCCCCCATCAACAAATTGGCAAGTAGCCAACAGGGCAGAGAGCGCGCCCAGGGGGGAGGCGCAGAGACATTTTCTTTCCCGCGCGTCATCGATTGCATTATGCCGCCCCTATCCCTTTAAAGCAGCTGGAAAGTGCGCCCCCTTGCGTCGACAGGGTGTCGACACCTTTGAAACTGAAAGAAGCGCTAGCCTGCGCGTTGGAATTTGGCTTTTAGGAAGAAACCCGCCCGCCATTTGGTGTAACACGCAACTGTCTACACCTAGCCGAAAAGAGGGGTCGATTCTAGAGTCTCATAGACCCATTAAAACTCTTTGCTGGGCGCGCCTTTTTCTGTAATCGGTTTCGCCTCTTTCAACGCGCCCAAAATTTTGCCTCATGTCTCATGGCCCCTCTTATAAAGTCTTTGCAGGCCGGGCTTGACGCGGAATTTCGTTTCATCCACCTCCGCAGCTCCCAAAATTTTCACGGATACCCGCCTCTGTGTGATTTCGGCGTCCAGCTTTTTCCACTTTTTACGATTCTCTGCGCGCTGTTTTCAAACCATTTTCTGTTTTTCATTTCTTAATCCCTTGGACGATTATCAAAATCAATTTCTCTTTTTCAGGTAAAAAGACGGCTCGACGCTTCGATGGATAAGGCGCAATTCGAGAAGGAGCTGCTCGCTCTAAAGGATGATGGAATGACGGATATTGGCATCGTCGAGGAAGGCAACAAGAACGGAGATGAAGAACATTATGGAGTCAAGGAAGGCTACAAATCATCGCTCAACATCTACGATCTTCCCCTGGACATGTTGTGGGAGATTCTGCAACCGCTAGATGGAAACGACCTCCTCTCCATTGCCCGTACACATCAGAATCTACTCTACGCTACAAAACACCTGAAGGACAAGTACTTCCGCTTTGTGAAATGTGTGGCCTCCGTTGTACGAGATTCTCCTCATCATACTTATACACCGAAAGCACTGGAGATTCTTCTTCATGGGGCACGGGTCGAGGATCTCGACTTCGAGACAGATGCTCGCCCGTTCGATGTGGAGGGGCTCAAGTTGTGGGAGCTCGGGTTTTATGGTCAAGGACAAGAAGTTAAAGCTGCGATTGTCATCGAAAAGCTGCAGCCTAAAACGGTCATTTTCCAGAACTATGGAAGCTACACGATGACGCCGATGTTGTGCCAGTCTCTCTTCACAATTCCCCATCTCTTTCTCGGTGATGTTGGTATCGAGCTTCTCGATTTCATACTCCAATGGAACGGCCAGTATTTGACCTGCTACCTGGATATCTCAGCGAATTACGAGAAATCGTCTCGATTCTTTGATGTCATCCGACAATTTCTCGTTCAACGGAAGAATGGGGTGCCAGCCCCATTTGAACTAGATATTCTCTTCGAACCCCCGTTGCTCCCTGATCAGCTTGATGAAAATATTCTTGGACCGGATTACCCATTGCAACGCCTATTTCAACGCCGCCATCCCGATAGCTTGGTTTGCAACCTCGACAATCCTTCCATCCATATCCACATCTCCCTTTACACTATGATCGGCCGCCTTTCCTAATTTATTCCGGCTTTTTGCTCCCAATTTCAGTCTGCTTTTGATTGCTTCACTATTTTAATCCTCGTATCCTTTCTCATGCTCTCCCTCTGCGCCATTTCCCTTATTTTATTTTATGACCTGAGATAAAATTTCAAATTCAGGCTGTGGGCACGAAATGGCAGCTCGAGATGCGGAAATGGGCCGATGTAATAGAAAAAGAATGGGATGTGCTAAAAGGTCATGTCTATTTTGAAAGTTCCTTTTTATATTTTTTAGGAAAATCGAGACGGACGGCGACGACGGTGATGTTCCGGAAGACATGGGCTGCTGCTATTGGATAGCGGTTCGTGATCGGATCTTCTACTTCTCCGTCATTCTCTTTTAGATTTCGCCCGTTTGACGGATAAGCGAGTAGAGGACAGAGAAGCCGAGAAGCATTCTATCGAATTTCAAGCAGCAGCAACAAATGAATCTCCCTGGAAAGGTTGCGCTTTAGCTTTTTTATCTAATAACTATGAGACGATCTTTTTAAAACCGGCTTCGGAATTTTTGGCAGGTTTTTTCCCCATTTTTTCAGGTCAAAGTCTTGGCCGATCTAAAGATCAAAGCTGCAATATTTTGACGATTTTCTGGTGAAAAATTATATTTTTAGGAGAGATCAAATCAATGCCCTTTTGCAGGTAAGAACCTCGCCAATCGACACTTCAATGGCGCCGGCCGCAATGATGAGAAAACTGGACGATAAGCGAGACAATTGCATGGATGACGGTTAGTGATCGAAGCTTGCCACTTCGCCGCCAATCTTTTTAGATACTTCCCGTCTGATTGGCCCTGCGAGAACAACAACAGTAAGAAGATGACGAAGCAGAACCTGTCCGAGAGGCCGGCCGATAAGATGCACGAAATGGCCAAGTTTTATCCAAGTTTCTCGTTTTATTCTTATTTAGCAAGTCATCTACGCCCAGCAACAGCTTCACAAAGATGCGCCAATTGTCTTAGATGATTCGTTGTATTTCTATTTCTTTTCTTTTCTCTGCGTATTTGTCTTCCTCTCTGCAATCTCCTTTCCTTTCTTTTCTCCTCCTCTTTTGTCGAAAGTTTTAGAGATAATAAAGTACTTTCAAGTCAAAGAATCGTTTCTGAAAATGCATCTCACTGTTCCTGAGGCAGCTACAGCTTTCGCACATCCACACAACAATTCAAATTTTTAGACGTTTGTTGTTCAATTTAAAGCAGCTGGAAAGTGCGCCCCTTGCGTCGACTGGATGTCGACACCTTTGAAACTGGAAGAAGCGCTAGCCTGAGCGTTGTAATCTGGATCTAACGTCGGTTTTTCGCTGCCTGGCTTTTAGAAAAACGTCACCTGTCATTTGGTGAAAGACGCAACCGTCTACACCTAGCCGACGAGAGGGCCGATTCTAGGGCCTTCTAGTCCCTTTAGACGCGGTATTTCGTTTCATCCACCTCCGGAGGCTGCCAAAATTTTCACGGATGCCCGCCAGCGCTGAAATTTTTCGCTTTATCGGCGTCGACAGATTCGTTTTTCGGACCGCGCATGCAGAAATCTTCATAAAAAATTCAACTTTTTACGATTCTCCGCGCTATTTTCAGTTATTTTTCGTTTTCCATTTCTCTATCTGTTTTTACTGATCGTTTTTACCCCAATATTCTTTCTTTTTTTCAGGTAAGAAACCCGAACTGGCAAGACGATGGATAAGGCGCAATTCGAGAGGGAACTGCTCGCTCTACAAGATGATCTGATGGGCATGGCCATCGTCGAGGAGAGCCCGACGGTCAACCTCCTCGATCTGCCGCTCGAATTGTTGTGGACAATTCTGGAACCGCTTGATGGGAATGACCTCATCTACCTGTCTCGTGCTCATCAAAAGTTCTTCAACGCCATCAAATACGTGAAGAACAAGCGATTTGAAAATGTCAGGTAAATTGGGGATCATTTTTGACACCTTTTTGTATAGTAAGCCGTTTAAACAGCATTTATTCGGGTTTAAATTTACGATTATACCGAATTTCAGATGCGTGACCACCGCCAACAGCTTTCCTGACCGTATCGAACTGACTCCTCAATCCGCGAAGATCTTTCTCTTCCGCGCCCATGTCGACACGCTGATCTTGGACACGGAAACGTACGCGCTTGATGTTGAAGGACTGACAGTCAGAAATCTCCGAATGGCCGGCGTCTTCTCGGCTGACAAGGCTGCGGTTGCTATCGAGAAGCTGAAGCCCCAGATTGCCGACATGCGCTCGGAAATTACGAGCCGATATGATGAGATTATGACGGAAAGCCTGGGCCGGGCTCTTGCTTCAACTCCCACCATCTATCTGCGCTATGTCCAACTGGAGCTGTACGACTACATCACTCAATGGCCATTTGTGCGCTTTCAGTGTGATCTGAACAACGTTGGAGGCACATTGCCGGCTCGTTTTTGCGAGGCGATCACCACTCTACTCGATCAGTACTACGCCGGAAATCGGGTGGCGTTCGAGCTTCACATCGCTTTTGCCGTTGCTATCGACCTTGATGCTAATCTGGAGGCCTTTGGACATCGCTACCGGATGGTACGGAGCACCAACTCGTCTCCACGATTGTCAGGCCATGGTCTTGCCTGGAGATTGAATAGCAAATGGCTTCACATTGGTCAGGGCGGAACGATTCCTGGCCCATTCATTCCCTGAATGATTTCCAGGAGGATCCAAAGTCTAGCAACGATTTTGCTAAATTTTAAGCCTAAAAACCCTTCCGAAATTGAAAAACAAATTTGAAATTCTGGCCCAAAATTGACCATTTTCTGCGAATAAACGCTATTATTGTACATTTAAGTTGTAAAGTTTTTGCATTTAGGAAAAGTAAAAAATTGTTTGGAAACATTTCATCTCTTTCGAATGAAAAATTAGATGCTAAGGACTCGGCTAATCATTTACCCATGGGAACCCGCGATTTACCCATGGGTAAACCCACGATTTACCCGTGGAAACCCATGGGTTCCCATGGGTAAATCATGGGTTTCCTTGGGTACCCATGGGTTCCCATGGGTAAATCGCGGGTTCCCATGGGTTCCCATGGGTAAATCGCGGGTTTCTCTGGGTACCCATGGGTAGATCGTGGGTTCCCGGGGTAAATCGGTAAAGCAGTACATAGGTTGTAGTTTGTGTACCGCCGCTCTTTGTTGTGTAATTCACTATCGTCACCGATTATGCACCATTTATTAGCTGAAAACTAACGAGATCAACAAAGAAAGAAGACAAAATAACAACGTGACGAAGATATTACTCAAAAATGGCTTCGTGGTCATTGGGGGATGGGAGAACAGCGCTGTTGGGCCTGAAAAGGTGCTCATGTTACGGCAGCCCCAAATTTGCTACCTTTGAAACTGGAAACGCTTAAAGAACTTACGCAGGGACAATCTTGATGCCAAGCGCACGCAACTGAAGCGCGATCTGCTTGGTCGGACGGATGGGTAGATCGTCAGCGGTACCGTAGCCTTCTGGGAAGTCGAGCTTCTCGTAGCCCTGGCTGCGAGATTGGACAGAACGGCGCCAACGTCTTCTAAAGTTGACGATAACAAGCATATTGGAAGAATTAACCTACACTACGCTGTCGATGCGATCTTTTATATGGGAGCGTAGAGCCCTCAGCAATTCAACTTCAGCGCTGGGGACGGCGAGTATTTTCTCAAACCCGTCTAAAAAGTTTACTTATAGTAAATGAGTGTTTGGTAGGGTAAGAAATATTTCGTAAGACTTACCAAAAAAAGCTTCGGTGTACTCAGAACCGACTATCTTATAGATGGTCGAGGAGCCGGTAGTTAATAAACCGCGGTGCAGCTTGTTCGGAAACATCTAAACTGTCTGTAAAGGTATCAAATACAAGCGATACCATGGCTAACACATCTTCGATAGCATAGTCTATCTGGTGGAGGCCGATATGGCTGCTCGGGACCCCTGAAAATTAATTTGGGTGGAAAAACGGATGTTTACGGAGCCAGGATTTCGACAGGAGTGAGAGTAGATCGCATCCTTCGACCAATCTGCTGCCGAGCTTCGACGAATTCGTGCGCTCGAAATAAGGTGCGAGCCTCTAAAGCAGATTGCAAGTGGAGTGGAGTCGACTTACCTCTTCGAGGCCGCCAATATTCTCCGAGCTGCCGGATTTCGGGCGGGTGTGAGCCCGGCTTACATCTGCCTAGATTGAGGTAAGTAAAGGTATTTCCATTACCTGTGCCAGGGTGGCTACGACTCGTCTTAACTGCTTCGCTGTTGCCCCATTCAAATTTCCCTCAGTTTCCTCCCGTCCGATGTCGCCCATCCATTCGGTGAAGTTGATGGGTTTGTGGTGCTGGGCGAGCGACTTCTAAAGGTGGTTTGTAGAGGTAAATCAAGTCTTTGAAGCGCCCCAACCTTGGTCGTTTCCCACGGCCGAAGTTGGCCGTCGGGACCATAGAAGGCCGAAACCAATCCGTCGACGACTACCGGGGCGGAAGTGGTCCTGAAGTCCCCAGGTTCCACATGAACAGACGGTTCAGTGCGCGGCTGAGTATCCATGAGGTCTTGCGACCAAAGTTTCGTAGTCATAGCCTAAAACCAGGCTGCTAACCGTTGTAACGACATGCCAAACCTCATCGTCTTCATCGGAATTGGGGGGAATGTAGACCTCATCGTCGGGAAGCCGACTGGCCGCCGGGCTTTTAAGCCCTTGGAAAGCAGACTCTGTGTTGGTGCCGGTCTAAAAAAATACTGGTTATTAGAGAAGCCGAAAGGGGTGGACTTACGGGCCGACCCTTTGAACTCCCGGCGGCATCACAAGCTACAGGTGGAGAATTGGGGAGAATGTTGCGGAACCGCTTGGCTGGCCTCGCCGTAGTGCGGGGAGTGCTGAAAACATAATATTCACTAGAAGATCAGCTGTTACCTCAATAGCGATTCGAGATCGTGAATCTCCTTCAATAAAGCATGATGCGGGCCGGTACCTGGCATGAACTCGCGCAGTCTAGACCGCTGACTTTGAAGCAGCTTCTCGATTGACTGCATCAAATCTATAAAATATTCTCTATACGTAGTATGAAAGAAGGAGGTGAGGGCAAGAGAAAACAGTATCAAGCGGCAGAAGCTACGGAATCACACGAGATGACGAATTGCATGTTCTGGTACGGCAATACTACAGTTTTGAATAAAAATTTCTCTATAGGGATCGAGATAACAGTGGGATACCAGGTGACGGGGATGAGATATTCACCGACTGAAGTCAAGATGTTACGCCAGAGCAGAGGAGTTTCTGGGCGGCTCATCAGTCTGAACAGTCCAACTTGTTGTACTTTTCGGCCGGGTCGAACCAACAGGTGAGTCGAGCCATCGGGTCGGGTGAAGGCGTAGAGAAATAGGGCAGGGCGCGCTTCACCGCTCACATCCCCATACATCAGCCCGTCGTCACGGTAGAAGTTAGCGGGGTGCACCGTGGAGTTTACCAATAGCTTGCTTCCAATGTGAAACGAGGAAAAGATGCAGACGGCCATGCAGTCTTCTAGCATGCTCCTTGCCGGCTCGGGCACTTTTCCCCAGGAAACAGCCCTTTCTTGGAACATTGACGCGGGTTGAGGCAAGAATCGTCTGAAAGTTTATTTATCTTCAATCTTTTACCTTACGAATATTCTAATCAAGAAACAAAACAAATTGCCCGAAAAATAACCAACAAGTCCTCTTTGGTGGCCGGTGCATCCCGTAATTGCAAGAGCAGTTCCCGCTGACAGATTAATTCGCCGATTTGGCTGAAAACTTAAACTTTGTCTTAATCCTTTCCTTACCTAGTCGCAATTAGCGCCATCCCTCCGCGAGATATACTAGCTGACACCCCAAGTTTCAGCTTCGCGTTGCACGACTCAAATAGTGATGTCGAATAACGATGCGGAGTGCCGTGTTTTCGCCAATGCTCCACGAGATGATAGAATATCATCTAAAACATCCAGTCCGTCAATCCGATTTTTTGTGCATGATAAAATATGACGGGAAATGACCTACATGGGCTTTATACGTGAAGAGCTTGGGCTCGAGTTGATTTGCTAGCCTCCCCAGCGAATCGACAAGCACTTCTATCTCTTTCCATCGACGGTTTATACATCGGTCGTATGTTGCCTAAAGAACTTCTGATAGACACCAAGTTCCTTACGTGCGCCAAACAACAGATGCCCAATCCGTATATAGCGAACGCCGTGTTTTCACAAGGTGCCATGAGCATTAACGGCCCAGCAACATAGAGTGCGAACTGAAAGAGAAATCCTCAACAAAGTCAAATCCTACCGATTCTTTATATTTCCCACTGGTTTCCGTCAATCTGGTCACCTTCCCGATAGTCTGACACCCGCGCGGCAGCCGCGTCTGGAGCGCGCCTTTGATGGCGAGCCGTTCGTCTAGCCGGGCCCCCATCAGCCGTCGTACCTTGTCGACGCCAAAGAGCCCGGGTAGACAAACTGAAAATTCTAAGCTTCCCAATATGAGTAATCTCGACTTACTTTGTAACCAATTTTTCAGGATCCCCTCACTAAAGCAATGTAAATAATCTATCGGCAGTTGGTTGATGTCGATCATATCTAATATCCTTGAGCGTATGTGTGACGTAAAGCCATTCCGCTTCTGTTCAGCTTCGATGCATTGCTGACTCGCGTCCCTTCCTGCATCCAGACTTTTAAATTAAGCAAACCGCAACAAACCTGGGTACCACGCAAATTTGTGTCTGGTTTGATCGCTTCTACAATACCAGCAAGTGCCAGACGACTGGCAAGAGCCCATGCCGAACGACAAACGCTTTGCCTGGGAAAACTAAATGATAGCTTCAAAAAGGCTTACCTCATCATCTGCTGAGATATTGTGAATCCGACACTTGACTGCATAAAGCCGTCCGTCCAGTGTGATAGTAGTTATGTCTCTCAGCTCGACAATGATAATCTAAAATTGTCCCGTGCTAGGCGAACTTATATCGCTGACAAGTATCGCCGAATTTCCAAAAACCCACATCCAAGGCGCGATTAAAATCTGCTACACTTGGCTTTTCCCCAGCTTGTAGAATCGCGGCTAGCATCACGTTACCCTTTTTCACCTGCTCTGATTCGGGCAGATCGAGAAGCGACAAGAAAAATGGCCATAGTGAGGAACTAAAATGCCACTATTTTCTTTGTCAAGAACCGAACCTCGTCAATCCCGTGGGTGAATAGCCGTCATAATTTAATAGTAGCCGGATTTCCCGTGGCTCTTGACCTTCCAGTGTCTTCTAAATTCTGCTGATATGCCCGAAATCTCGCATACTGTTATTGATGTATCATGTAATTGCAATAAACGCTCGAGCTGCAGCCGGAGATTTGATGCCCATAGCCCTCTAACGGTGCGCCGACAACTGGAAACCAAAATCTGGGCATCGGTAATTAAAACCTTACCATGCTGTACTGAGTGTCTCTTTGACGGTTCGATCACATCCGGAGCACCAATACCTAGTGACCCGCGTGATGGATGTTCGAAGTCGTGCCAGATCTCGCTCCAGGCTTCTTTGTTCATCTACGGTCAGAAAGGCGGTCTCCATGTCCGTTTTAACTAAAGTAAAAAATTATCTCAGTGTTAATCATGTTATATACCTTTCTCGGTTTGTCTCTCTCGTAGGCAAAATATCATTCTGTGCAATTGCTTACGGCCAATGTCTCGCAACCAACTCAATTCATCGACTTTTTGCCATTCGTATTCTAAACTAGAATTACCTTTCCTCTTCATAAATCTCACCAGAGGGCCGTCGTGATATTGGATACTCATCAATGTCCTCTGTGTCGCCGGCGGCTGATTCACCTTAAGATAGTTTTTAAGGTTTATTTTTGCCCCGCCTAATTCTACCTCCACTTTGCGCTTCTGTGCCAGTCGTTGCAGCGTCATCCTCCTGATGCATGCCCATCATATTAACTTTTTGGCCAGTATTCGATGTGGATCGCTAAACAGTTTCCATCTTTGAACAATCATCTAACTGCCAACCTGACCGGCCGCCTTCTCGAGCAAATATTGGCGCAGCACAGTTTTTGATGGAATTTGTCTTCCCATGGGATCTTCTTTGATGGAATCTGGCAGAATAATTGCCAATTGTAAAAATATAAAATGCATTATGCTTGTCCGTTGCCCAATCTTTCTCCACAAACTACCGCCGTTACCCATGGGAACCCATGGGTTCCCATGGGTAAAACATGCGTTCCCATGGGTAAAACATGGGTTCCCATGGGTTCTCTCCCCCCGAGATTTACCCATGGGTACCCATGGGTAAATCGTGGGTTCCCATGGGTAAACACGGGTTGCGGGTTCCCATGGGTAAAACATGGGTATCTGTGGGTTTTCGCGGGTACCCACGGGTAAACGTGGGTTTTTCTGGGTTCCCATGGGTAAATCATTAGCCGAGGACACAATTCAGACCGCCCGGAAATACTAAAGAATCGATCTCTGCAATCACATTGCGCCCCTCGTTTCACCTTCATGTATTTATCACCGCCCTTTTGTACATATTTAATACCCCCTCCCCTTTCAAATTGAATTCATTCCCCCCATTTATTATTCGTTACACCCGTCCGTTTGGAAATTGCATTTTGCGATCTTGTTGTTGCCTTTTTTCGTTCTCAATCGTTTGATCTTCGTTGGATTTCAATGCATTACAAAGAAATTTCAGGTTTCGCGTCCAAAGAGCTGCAGCTCTGCGTCAAAAGTGAAGAAATCAAGTCGCAAAATCTCCAGCTGCACAAGAAGGCCATGTTTTTTGCTATTTACAAGTTTTATTTTTATTTAGATGAAAAGATGGGGCCGGCAACAGCTTTGTATCGACAAGACCATCTTCACTTTGGCGCGAATTGCGGTGAGTGATTGGACCTTCTACTTCGCCGCCCAACTTTTTTCAGGCAGCAGCGTCTGCTTGGACAAGAAGATGAAGAAGACGAGGATGGCAGGAAGAAGCCGAGCTGAGGATTATGCATTTGTTTAAAATTCGTTTAGGTTGACGTGCGATCGTGCAGCTCTGCGCCAAAAGGAATAAATGAATCGGCATAGGCTTGAGAAGCACAAGCATTGATATTTTTTTCTTAGCTATCTGCTGTCTTTTAGTGAAGAAGCTAGGGCCAGCAAAAATATCGTCTTCTCGAGCAGTCATTTACGAAATCCGATCTCTGCCTACGGCTAGTGCCTCTTTCCTCCGGTCTATCAATCTTGATTATCCTCTCTCATTTCAGCGCGATTTTCACTTTTGGTTTTCCTTTCCGTTTCTTGTGCGTTTTCCCGCAAATCCTTCATCAATTCCCCTTTTTCAGGTAAGAACACCCGGCGGCAAGACGATGGATAAGGCGCAATTCGAGAGGGAACTGCTCGCTCTACAGGACGATGGAGTGACGGATATTGGCATCGTCGAGGAGGGCAACAAGGAGGGAAATGAGGATGATGATGATGGAGTCAAGGAAGGCTACAAATCAACGCTCAACATCTACGATCTTCCGCGGGACATGTTGTGGGAGATTCTGCAGCCGCTAGATGGAAACGACCTCTTCTACATTGCTCGCACACATCAGAAACTCCTCTACGCCACAAAACATCTGAAAGACAAGTACTTTCCTTGGGTGAGATGTGTGTCCACAGTTCATCGGGATCCCAGCTATCAAACACCGGAAGTACTCGAGATTCTTCTCCATGGGGCACGCGTCGAGTATCTCTACTACGACACGGATACTCGCCCATTCAATGTAGACGGACTCAAATTTCAGGATCTCCTTTTCTATGGCCCAAAAAAAGACGACAATGTGGCCAGTGTCATCGAAAAGCTGAAACCCGGCGGTGTCAGCCTGCATGACTATGAAAACCACATAATGACTCCGATGTTGTGTCAGTCTCTCTCCACCATTACCGAACTCTACCTCAGCGCTATTGGAATGGAACTTCTCGATATCATACTCCAATGGAAAGGCAAGTTTTTGACCGGCATCCTGGATATCTCAGGAAATTACGAGAAGTCGTCTCGCTTCTTTGATGTCATCAGACAATTTCTCGATGAAAGGAAGGATGGAGGGCCAGCCTCATCTAAACTATATATCCGCTTCAAACCCCCGTTTCTCCCTGTTCAGCTTGATGAAAATATTCTCGGACCGGATTACCCATTGGCACGTCTTGCTCCCGATATCTACTATTGTAGCATCAGCAATCCGTCCAGCTCTATCCACATCATTCCTTCCTTTATTAGTTGTGAGCTGTCCTAATTTTCCTCGTTTTCGTCTCCCGATTTCGGCGTTCTTTTGATTGCTTCACTATTTTGATCCTCGTATCCTTTCTCATGCTCTCTCTCTCGCTCTCTCTCTTTCTGTGCGCCGTTTCCCTTATTTTATTCAAATTGCCTGAAATAAACATTTAAAATTTCAGGCCCTGCGCGCCAAATGGCAGCTCGAGGTGCGGAAGTGTGCCGACGTAATGGAAAAAGAATGGGATGCGCTGAAAGGTCATGTCTGTTTAAAGTTTCTTGTTGTTCTTTTTTAGGAAAATCGAGACAGACGGGGACGACGGGGTTCTTTCGAAAAACGATGCTCTCCTGTTGCTGGATAGCGGTTCGTGATCGGACCTTCTACTTCTCCGTATTTATTTTTCAGAATACCCCATTTTGACGGATAATCGATAAGAGGAGGGACAAGCCGCGGCGAATGCTAGCAAAATTCAAGCTGCAGCCAGATGGAAATACCATAGAAAGGTTGCATTACCCTTATACCATCTTTTCCCATCAGCTCTGAGGTTTTTTGCAATGTTTTCAGATCAAGGGCCTGGCCGAAGATCCAAAGATCGAAGCTGCAATATTTTAACGGTTTTCTAGTGATAAATTGTATTTTTAGGAGAGATCAAATCAATACTCTTCTTCAGGTACGAACATCGCCAACGACACTTCAATGGCGCCGTCGCAAAGATGAGAAAACGGGTCGATGAGTGAGGCAATTTCATGGATGACGGTTAGTGATCGAACCTTGCTACTTCGCCGTCAATTCTTTTATAGATAATTCCGATCTCACCGTGCATCTACCACGAGAAGTGAATCAAGCAGTAGCGAAAAATGCGTTGGAGACGCCGAGCGATAAAATGCACGAAATGGCCAAGTTTTATCCAAGTTTCTCGTTTTATTATCATTCATTAAAGCGTCTACTGCCAGCGACCTCGACTTCTCGACGAAACAATCTTCATTCTGGATTGCGGTTAGTGGGTGGACGCTTCTACTTCGCCGCCTCAGTTTTTAGATCCTTCGCATCAACCATGGATTTTGGAAGAGAGAGGAGCAGAGAAATCAACTCGATCACGATCATTTATCGCATACAAATCCGGCGTTTCTTTGCTATGGAATAAATGTCTATGATGAAATGGTCCCAAACCCTCGTTTTAGTTGCCCTCTTCTTTACCTATAAGGTTTTTCGGCGGGAAAATAGTCCTATTTTTGGCCGTATTTTTCGCGGATCATGGTGCAAATAGAAAGCTATCCTATCTCTATTGTTTCAACTCGGCGGCGCCTTCTCTATTGGGAATTGAAGCGTTTTATAGCGCTGTGGCTAGGTCTTTGCTTTATCTCACTGAAAGCAGCTTTCATTCTGATGCTCCTTTCTCTGCTTGATTTCACCGTGTTCTTCCTTTCCATTTCTTGATGATTTTTGCAAAATGCTTAAAATTAACCGTCCTTTTTCAGGTAAACAGACCAGACGACTTTTCGATGGATAAGGCGCAATTCGAGAGGGAACTGCTCGCTCTACAGGATGATGGAGTGACGGTCGTCGAGGAGGGCAACAAGAAAGGAGATGAGGATGATGATCGAGAGAAGGAGGTCTACAAATCATCGCTCAACATCTACGATCTTCCCCTGGAGATGTTGTGGGAGATTCTGCAACCGCTGGACAGTGATGACCTCCTCTCGATTGCTCGTCTTCATCACAAGCTACTCTACGCAACAAAACATCTGAAGGACAAATACTTCTATAATGTGTATTGTGTGGCCTCGGTTGAACAGGATTCTTCTCATCATTTATTGACCCCGGATGTATTGGAGATTCTTCTTCACGGGGCACGGGTCGAGGATCTCTACTTCGACACAGATGCTCACCCATTCGATGTTGACGGACTCGAATTGTCGGATCTCTGCTTCTATGGCCCAAAACAAGACGACAAGGCCGCGATTGTCATCGAAAAGCTGAAACCTGAAACGCTCGACTTCGAGAGCTATGAACACGAGACGATGACGCCGATATTGTGCCAGGCTCTCTTCACAGTTCCCCGTCTCTGCCTTGGCGATGTTGGAATAGAGCTTCTCGATTTCATACTTCAATGGAAAGGCGAGTATTTGACCTGCATCCTGGATATCTCGGCGAATTACGAGAAATCGTCTCGCTTCTTTGATTTCATCCGACAACTTTTCGATGAAAGGAAGAATGGAGTGCCAGCCCTTCTTCAACTAGATATTCTCTTCAAACCCCCGTTGCTCCCTGATCAGCTTCATCCAAATGTTCTTGGCCCGGATTATCCATTGGAGTTCGATGGTATTTCGGGCTACAATTACGACCCCAATAATCAATCCATCTGGATCCAAATCTACCCTGACGCTATGTTCTGCCAACTTTCCTAACTGATCCCGGCTTTTTGCTCCCAATTTCCGGTGTTCTTTTGATTGCTGCACTATTTGAAGCACAGTTTCATTTCTCATTCTCTCCCTCTGCGCCGTTTCCCGTATTTTATTCAACTTGCCTGAAATAAAATTTCAAATTTCAGGCCCTGCGCGCCAAATGGCAGCTCGAGGTGCGGAAATGGGCCAATGTAATGGAAAAAGAATGGCATGCGCTAAAAGGTCATGTTTGTTTAAAGTTTCTTGTTATTCCTTTTTAGAAAAATCGCGAGGG